TCAGTCTAAACAAGTGAACATCAAAGTAATGTTACTCGTAATCTTGTCAAAAGTGATAGAAGATTAATTGCCTTCCTACCCAAGTGGGAATTTAAACATAAATTACTGGCCTTTTACAAAGAGGAGGCATCGAGGACGCCATTTCGGTTGCGTCGTAAGAGAAGCGTTCTAACCTTCGTTGTGTGAATTAGAACTCTGAGCCGCAAGAACTCCGGTCCGAGTGAAGCGGCGCCCCTTACCCAGCAGTTGGTGATGCTCTTCCTCCGCTGCTGCAGGAAGAGCTTCATGCCCTTGTCCTCGTCCTCGGGGGTTTCCAAGATTTCCGGCAGCGGGATGTTACTCCTGCGCCTGTTGATGAGGAGCATGGGGAGGTCCTCCTCGGGGGGACTGAGGAGGGGCTTTGTTGCAGGGAGGAGTGATGTTGAGGGAAGGCCTGTTGACGGGCAGGCTCAGTCGGGGCGGCCTCGAAGGGAGGGGGGGCGGAGACCACTCACTGTCCGTTTCTTTCCGCACGTTAGTGTCTCCGGCTCCCCCCTCGGGTTGGGGAAAGTCCTCCGACCCCGACGGCCCCCGATCTCTGGCTCCCTGCTCCTGCTGTCGGTCGCAGCTCAGTTCCTCGATCGTTATATTTATCGGTCCGTCGCGTGTGAACTCGACTACGTTCCCGACCGTGTAGCGGCGGGACACCACACCACTACTGTCTACGTTTAGTTCACTGATCGCCTGCGTCGCACCTAGTTCGTTAGACTCAATGATCGCACCGACGCCGCTCCTTCGTTGTGGAATTGGCTTTACCTAAAACAGATATGGCGGTGATGAATAATCTGATTACTTGGAAGTGAGAACACCGAACACCGAGAGGCTACAGACATCGAGGATCCGCAGAGGGAATCTAAACACTCAGACGTGGACTGGCTCTCATCTAGAAGAGGCCTTTGTCTCACAGGTGTTAAGAGCAGCATCCAAGGAGCCGAGGCTGTTAACTCTTTCTCCTAAACGACCATTTCCCTTCCTCCAAATAAACATCGAGCGCACGTTGCCATAGTTAAAACCTACTGAATGGAAATTAGTCACACCGAAAGATACACAGCTTGAAGAGTCGGTAAAGAGAGATAAAAGAACGTGAAGCAAAGAGCGGAGAGAACCACACTCATCCTACAACATCGCAGAATCCTCACAGAAAAATAGACAAAGCTGACGTCCAGGGGGACTACTAGCAACAGTCAAAGCGTAATAAACAATCTCGCGGAAGGTGCTGACGTCATGTGACTCAGTGGGTTCATCGAGCGCTTGGGAGGAACAGCTGACAGTCGAGCGGGTTCGACGTCGAGAGAGAAAGGAGCGACGGTCGGCCTGTCGCGAGGAGGAGGAGGAGGAGGAGGAGGAGGAGGAGGAGGAGGGAGGAGGAGGAGGAGGAGGAGGAGGGGAGGAGAGGAGCGAGACAAGAGAAGCGTCTGGGCGCTGTTCTCAGGGAAGGAAGGAGGGAGGAGGACACCACTTACCTTCGGGCCGTCCTGCGCCACACCTAAAGCGACTTCGGGCTTCTGACATGCGGCGGGTCTACGGTCTCAAGGCCGAGGTAAAACAGGCACAGGAGAAAGGTGGATTTACTCTACGTGATAAAATCTTTTATTATCTTTTATTTCGTAGATAGATTTGGATAGTAGCCCTGTGCATATTTTACCGCGGATTCGGGACACTGTCACATAAAACATACACGCATATATATATATATATATATATATATATATATATATATATATATATATATATACATATACATAAATATATATATATACATATATATATATATATATATATATATATATATATATATATATATACACACACACACACATACATACATATATATAGTCATTGTGCAACATAAAGGAACCAAGAGCTACAACAACTCAATTTAATTTTCATGGTATCTTTAATTCATTCTCTGATCACAGTTCATATTAATAATGATATTAATAGTAATACTTTCCATCATATATATATGCTATTCGGCGAAATAAACAGAGTGAATACATTTAGTAGAGAGTCAGATGAAACATTGCAAAGCCTGACAATAAAGATGAAATAAAAAATATAAAATTTAATAAGCACAAAACTGGGCACACACATACGCTCACACGTAAACACACGCACACACACACAGACACAAACATACACACATGGAAACGACTTCTTTAAGACACAAACATTTCAAAACATTACACCAAAGGAAGAACAAAAGAAACAAGAAACGGGGGGAAGAGAGGTATAGAGGCAATGAACGAGGGAAAGAACTTATACACACAAACAAGACAACGTCACATAGGATTGGAAACGATTGGAAGGCAGCCAAGCACGGGGTACAACTCCTTATACAGCGGCAAAAAAAGGCGGGAAAGTCAACGAAGCAGGGACGGGTAGTCAAATATACCAAGCGCGGGTTCAAAAAATACGAAGGTACCATCGACACGCAGCGGGGAAAAGAGACCAAATGCGGATGAGAAAGAGGGAGACAAAAAAAGAATAAATGGAGAGGGAAATATACGCAGGCGCGAGGGAGGGAGGATAGGTGCGCGGAAAAGACAAAAGAGCATCAACAAGGGGGCGAGAAAGAGGTGCATCTTGGCACACTTACCGCTTTGGGGGGCTCTACGATTTTCGGCTTCTACACGCCAGGTGAGAAGTGAAGTCATGGCAGCGGTGTGCGGAAGAGAGAGAGAACGAGAGAGAAAGAGAGATAGAGATAGATAGATAGATAGATAGATAGATAGATAGAGATAGAGAGATAGAGATAGAGATAGAGATAGAGATAGAGATAGAGATAGATAGATAGAGATAGATAGATAGATAGATAGATAGAGAGAGAGAGAGAGAGAGAGAGAGAGAGAGAGAGAGAGAGAGAGAGAGATTGAGAGATTGATAGAGAGAGAGAGAGATGAAGAGAAAGATAGAGACCGACAGACAGATAGATAGAGACAAAGAAAGAGAGTGAAAGAGAAAAAGAAGGCGCGAAGAGGTGGGGGGAGAGAAAAATTACAATTAGACAATGTAAATAACAAAATTTGAAATGTTTAAAAAAAGGCGCTGAAGCCGAACCCTCGCTCACGTACCACACTTTTCATAAAGATGAAAAAACAACAAAAAAACAAAAAGGTCCTGCTATAAATAAGAGAAAAAATATAAGAAACAAAGAAAAAAATTCCCCATCTGGTTCTAAATGGCGTGAATACCTTTTTTTTCTTTTTTTAAATAATGTTGTGCAGTCTCGTGGCTTCAACTATAAAAGCATAATGAAGCCTATGAGGTCATATTGCATCTATACTAAACTACGGTGTTTTTTTGTCCTAGGCCTAGTGTGTTGAGTGAAGCTTGAACAAAGTCATGTGTTAAGTGTCAGTTGTAAGTCATGTAAGTCAATATACGTCCATGAGCGATTCACACTCATGTATACTTTTCCACGGGGTTAATATTCTTACGAAGCATGGTTAGCTATTATTGGCTTAAGTTCTTTGCGCGCTACGAAATCATAATGAGAAAGAAAAAAAATTGTAGTCCTGCTGAAGAATGGACGGTATAAAAACGGGTGATATACACTTCAATTCCTGTCAGTTAAAAAGAAGAATAAAAAACGGGAGACGAAATTTGTGAAGAAAACGAAAAAAAAACGAAATATACAGATACGGGATAATTGACCTTTAGATCCCTGGTGAAAAGAGAAATCTACATTGAGAAAAAAGACAAGAAAAAAAAAATGAAATGCGAAATCCACTCTTCAGCTCGTTCGTGTTAGCCAATGGTTAGGCTTGACTGCTTCTTGAGTGTCCTTCGAGAATTTGGATCTCGCCTCAGGAACGGGAAGTCGGTGGTTTAAAAGACCTCGAATGGCCATCATCGTTACGGCCATTACCGTCACTGTCAATTGTACTATTATCGTCGTCTTTGGTATTTCCTGAAGCGAGATCCAACCCCTCGAGGACACGGGATTAGCGCCAACGCAACCGTACAACCACCATCGCTTACTTCTGGATTTTTTTTAGGATTCTTGGGATTTTCAGGTTCCGGATTACTTTCAGGTTTATCTTTGGGGTTCTTGGGGTTTAGCTTTTTCGCTGTTTCTTTAGAGTCGGGTTTATCTTCCTGTTTTTTAGGATTCTGCTGCTTCTGTAGAGGTGAAACAAGATCTCCTTTTATATGGGAGGGGGACGTCACAAAAGACTTATTTAAGGACATTTAGTAGCAAAGAGGTGCTACGAACATAAAAAAACGGAAAAAAACATCTATGTGCCTAAAACAAGCAAAAAACTAAGCCACGTTTGTTTGTCTGTCTGTCCGTATTTTTTTCAATACCACAAATCTGACACGGGTATACACGACATAAAGACACACGTGAGGAAGATATTACATGAGAATATAGAGTACAGAAGGACTTCCGGAATTCAGAAGTGATAAATTCCACAAATATGTACACTAAAAGACTAAGACTATAGAAATATAGAAGACAGAAGAAGATTTGTAGATCCTTAGCCATCTCGTGTTATGAACTGAGAGGAAACTTGGAATCTAAAACACATAAGTGACTGAAACTTGAACGTCTTTGGAGATGGCTAAGGGCAATGTCCATGATGTACAAAGCCATTATATTGTTTGTACTGGCGTCTGCCCCCCATAGCTATCGAGACAGCTCTGAGGGAAGGGCCAGTGTACACCAAAGGAAATGGCCAACGAGAGTCAACATTCAAGTGGCAATTACGTGTAACACATGAATTAAGGGTTTCGGGTGATTAACGCAAGGAACGTGAGACAACCTGGAGGGGCCGACTGTCACCAGAGTGAACTCGGGAAGAAGGCCACTCCTCACGAACGAACGAACACAGCTCAGGAAACACACTTGCGGGTGGTGATGAGGGGGACTCCGAGGAGCACAAGGTGAGCGTTGTCTTTCGCTGCGTTTCAACAAAACACCTTCCTTGCAACGTTCGATTATTTTGAGTCTTCTTTTATATCATTAAGAGGAAGCATCCAGGAAAGAATTCGGATTCCTCTTTCCTTCCTCGATGGCTGACACCTTGAGGGGACCTTTTTAGCCGCTTTTTTAAATCGCTCTTTTTAAACGTGTTGAGAACGGGTTCATTCTCTCACCGGGGACTCTCCTTACCCATTGGTGAAGCACGTCCAGGCCGCCTCCCCATTCGTCCTCCTCGCTGGAGTACTCTGAGGAGTCCTCGGACATGTAGGCCGGCGGGGCGCACGTGAGCAGCTGAGGTAAACACACCAAGGGTCAATCTGAGCAGCTTAAGACACGGCAGCACCTTGCACTTAGACTCTCGTGGGAGCTCGTTAGGTGACGGAGGCAAGCTTGTCAGCGTTTCAGTAAACAAGGACCTTTCGGGTACTCATGTTGTTTTGGGACGTTGGTGTTTAGAAAATGAAAATGGTCGCACATGTTTAGTGAAATCCAACTTTAGTGTCATGCTATATTAATAAGGTATATATATTATATATATATATATATATATATATATATATATATATATATATATATATATATATATATAATATATATATATATATATATATATATATATATATATATATATATATATGCGCGCATGTGTGTGTATGTGTGTGCGCGTGCGCGTGTGTGTGTGTGTGTATGTGAGTGTGTGTGTGTGTGTGTGTGTGTGTGTGTGTGTGTGTGTGTGTGTGTGTGTGTGTGTGTGTGTGTGTGTGTGTGTTGTGTGTTTGTGTTTGTGTTGTGTTTGTGTGTGTGTGTGTGTGTTTTGTGTATGTGTATGTGTGTGTATATTATATATATATAATATATATATATATATATATATATATATATATATATATATATATATATATATATATATATATACAGCTCACATAAACACTGACACCGCTGACAAGCTCGTCTCCGTCGATTTCGTTATTCGTCAGGAGACGTTAAGGGAGGTTTAGGATCCACGCGATACGGGGTTATTTAGACGACAGAATTAGGATGTGGTCAAATGTCCAGTATTATTTCTGGAACAAGATTCTGTTACTCATTTAATGGTTTGGAAGTAAAGAAAGTAGAAGAGGTCTAAGTCAACAGACATATTTGTACATGGAACACAAATTCTGGACTAATTCTAGGTAGAGTAGATAGATATTGCAAGAATACAAATATGTGTATGTCTGTGATAAAGAAATTGTATATATAGAATACATACATCATGAATGAGTATATATATATATATATATATATATATATATATATATATATATATATATATATATATATATATATATATGATTGTATACATACAAGGTGTTTCTACACATTGCATAGGGCGTATAAGACATTTACTTTAGGAATTCACGAACACAAGTGAAAGACAAACAAATACCTATTATATCACAAATAAGAGATTCTGTTTGTATCAAGAAATAATCATGGGCAAGGATATTGGGTGTAGGATAGGGGAGGGCGCAGAGGTGGCGTATCCGAAAGGGAGTGTACCTCTGGACTGTCGCCTGTTTGTTGTGACTGTTCGCTTGATGGAATAGAAGTGCGTTTTAGGTTATCGTGTGGAGTGCCTTCCGTGTTAGAGCTCAGACCATTCTCTAGACCTGGACCTTCGGAAGGACCTGTGGCTTTCTGGTCGTCTTGTCTGTCTTGCCCGTCCTCTGGCCTGTCAGAAGGACGTCTTTCTTGCAACTCCTCGGGCCTGTCAGAGGGACCCCTTTCTCGCCACTCTTGCTCGTCCTCTGGCCTATCTGAGGGTCGTCTCTCCTGCCATTCCTCGGATCTCTCAGGACCTCTTTCTTGTTTTCCTTCTTGCCTGCTAGGACCTCTCTCCCTCCTTTCCTCAGGCCTCTCTGAAGGACGTCCCTCTCGCCTTCCTTCGCGCCTGTCGTGGCCTTTCTCTCGCCAATCTTCAGGCATATCAGAGGGGCGTCTCTCTTCCCACTCCTCAGGCATATCAGAGGGGCGTCTCTCTTCCCACTCCTCAGGCATATCAGAGGGGCGTCTCTCATCCCAATCCTCAGGCATATCAGAAGGACGTCTATCCTGCCATTCTTCGGGCCTAGGTCTATCTTTCCTTCCCTCTTGCCTGCCTGGACCCCTGTCCCTTCGTTCCCCAGGCCTGTCAGGACGTCCCTCTCGCCTTCCTTCTTGTCTATCAGGACCTCTCTCCTTCCGACCCATAGGTCTTTCAGAGGGACCTCTGTCCTCCCATTCCTCAGGCCTATCAGAGGGGCGTCTTTCTTCCCATTCCTCAGGCCTGTCAGATGGACGCCTCTCACCCCAATCCTCAGGCATATCAGAAGGACGTCTATCCTGCCATTCTTCGGGCCTAGGTCTATCTTTCCTTCCCTCTTGCCTGCCTGGACCCTTGTCCCTTCGTTCCCCAGGCCTGTCAGGACGCCCCTCTCGCCTTCCTTCTTGTCTATCAGGACCTCTCTCCTTCCGACCCATAGGTCTTTCAGAGGGACCTCTGTCCTCCCATTCCTCAGGCCTATCAGAGGGGCGTCTTTCTTCCCATTCCTCAGGCCTGTCAGATGGACGCCTCTCATCCCAATCCTCAGGCATATCAGAAGGACGTCTATCCTGCCATTCTTCAGGCCTAGGTCTATCTGGATCTCTATCTTTCCTTCCCTCTTGCCTGCCTGGACCCCTGTCTCTTCGTTCCCCAGGCCTGTCAGGACGTCCCTCTCGCCTTCCTTGTCTATCAGGACCTCTCTCCTTCCGACCCATAGGTCTTTCAGAAGGACCTCTGTCCTCCCATTCCTCAGGCCTATCAGAGGGGCGTCGTTCTTCCCATTCCTCAGGCCTATCAGAGGGGCGTCTTTCTTCCCATTCCTCAGGCCTATCAGAGGGGCGTCTCTCTTCCCATTCCTCAGACCTATCAGAGGGACCCCTTTCTTGCCACTCTGGTCTGTCAGGACCTCTCCCTCTCCTTTCTTCTTGTCTGCCAGGGCCTCTGTCTTTCTTTCCTTCTTGCCTGCCAGGTCCTCTATCTCTCCTTCTTTCTTCCCACTCCTCAGGCATATCAGAGGGGCGTCTCTCTTCCCATTCCTCAGGCATATCAGAGGGACGTCTTTCTTGCCATTCCTCTGGCCTGCCTGTCCACTCCTCAGGCCTGTCTCGCCATTCCTCAGGTCTATCAGGATCTCTCTCTCGCCGTTCCTCAGGCCTACCAGAAGGACCTCTCTTTTGTCGTTCCTCTGGTCTGTCAGAAGGACGTCTAGGTTCTTTATCCTGTCGTTTTTTATCAGAGGGAGCACTGCGATCTCTGCCCTGCTCTTTTGGCCGGCTAGTTGGCGCTTTGGGAGCTCGTTTCTGTCGCCGTTCGGCCCCGTCATAAGCCCTTTCTTCCTGCCATGCTTCTGGCTCATCATCAGCACCTTCATCACCTTCCTCAGGTGCGTCGTAACTACCATCGTCACCTTCCCATGGTTCTGGCTCATCGTATGCTTCCTCGTCGCCCTCCCATGGTTCCTGCTCGTCGTGAGAACCCACGTCTTGCCAGTCCTCTCCTCTCTCCGTCGGTCTTAGAGAATGGTCCTCCGCCTTAACACCTCGGAGGTCTTTGGGTTTAGTGTGGCGTCTGTCTCTCGTTTCAGCGGATTCCATTGGCTTTCGCTTTTCTGCAGATTTAGCACTCTCCTGGGCGGCGGCTGGCGTCTGGCCGGTCTTTTGGGAAATTTTACGCTTCTCGGTAACCTGCGTCTGTTGCGAATATTTACTCTGAGAAACTAGGATTTATGGGGGAAAATGTGACCTTATTATTTATGCAACATTTGTAATTAAGAAATATGCCAATACAACTGGAAGATTCGAGGGCAGGAACGCGTGCAGTTAGATTTGTTATTCGAGATTATTTAAAATTTCCATGTCATTTTTTAGCTGGTATGTATATTTTATTTAGCGGAAGTGGTCGGGGTATCTCGGAAAGATATGAAATGAAAAATAGGAAATTCAAGAAAAAATATCTTTGTAATTAAAAAACGATGGGAATCAAAATGGTGCGTATTTACGGGAGTACGAAAAAAATAAAATAAAAACAAAGAAACAAATGAACTCTGCAAAATAAAAACATCGGAAAACGGAAATCAAATGAATAAAATAATTTTTTTTCGATGATAAATCCAAAACTCGAAAACTAAAACAAAATCGTTGAGAGAGGATAACATTTACAGTAACAAATTAAAAGAAGAAAATAATAATCGTCGAGAGAGAATAACAGTCACAGTGATAAAAAAACGTCGAGAAAAAAACAAGTCGCAGTGATTGACTGTTACCGTCGTGAGGAAATAACAGTCACAGTGATTTATAAAATCGTCGAGAGATAATAACAGTCACAGTGATTAAAAGATACCGTCGGAAGAAATAACAGTCACTGATTTATATAAACCGTCGAGAGAAATAAGTCACACTGATTTAAAGAAACCGTCGAGCGTAAAGTCGGTGATCGAAAAGAAACAGAATAAAGGACGGGAAGGAGGGAAGAAGGAGGGGCGAGGTATTAATCCGACCTTCTGAATTGCCTCCTCTTCATAAGACTCGAATTCCTCCTGCTGTTCGCGATGGCCTATCCCTTGAGTCTGGAGAAGTGATTTTGAGGCTTAAATATATCCCTGGTTAAGCCTATGGGATTATATGTGTATATATATATTTTATTTAACATATGTGGGTAATATACGTCATTTGGGGGGAAAGGAGTGCATAGATATAAACATTTCACCGAAGAAGCAGTGTACAGAATGGGCCAAATAAAGAGTAGACCGCAAGGAGAGAGGCAGACTGGGCTAAAAAAAACAGACTGCAGATATGTAAAAAAGAGAAGAAGAAGAAAAAATGCAGTCTGGATGTCAGTGTTGTTCATATTATGGTGGTGAAAAGTGGTATAGAGAAGGAAAAAAATGTCGGATATAATATCGAGGTATATAGTTTGGGTTCAAGGAAAGGGGACGATGACGAAAGATAGGATAAGGTTGTATGCCAAAAAAATAAACATCTGTAACCTATAAAAACAAAAACAATGGGAGAAAAATATAGTTTGACTAATCTAGGATTCTTAGATATATATAGGCAATTTGGCAGTCTATGGTTTACGTCTTTATTTGACCTTTGTTGTTTATGAAAATACATACTATCTACCCGCTTCAGTATACTAACACATACACCCGCACATGCTTACACAGAAACGCGCACAGACTCGTACACATACACGCTGATAAAGAGACCGAAAATGATGCCTGATTCACTCTTTCTCTAGTTCTGCAACAAGAGAAAAAACTCCCACCTTCTCCCATATTGCCCAAAGAGAAAGGTGTGCAAGAGCATCATTTTAATCTCCCCTGAAGCGTAATTTTACCAGTTAGTCTATTCTAATTGTAGAACCATTCAGAGAGAACCGCCGTGGCCTGTTCTTGAACCTCAGGGCAGAAGAACCGCACAGAGTTCAACACACAGGCACCGCGGTACTCCCGAAGGCCCCAGAACGACCGCAGAACCACACACACGGAGGAAGGAATCGCAATGCCTGATTGGCTCCCTCCGTTAGCCAATCAGCAAGCGCCACCTCTCCGGCGTGCGTGTGGGTGGGTGATCGAGTGTTGGCGTTAGAATGTGTGTTGATACCCACCCTCCTCCCTGTGTGTGATCTATACCTATCCCTAGTTACCGTGTACTTTGGTGTGGTGTCGCCTACCTTTTCCTCTGGCTCGTCGCTCTAAATGCGGGAGAGAGCGGTAGCAATATATTAGTGATGTAACATAGGGAGACACGTTCCCTATTTGTATTTCAGTTTATTATTGTGTTTTTTAAAAGACGAGGGAAATGTGTTTCTTTATATATAATGGGGTTATGTCTGGAAATATAAACAGTATGTGCGTGAGCGTTTAGGTTTTTTAAAACTTAGAAGGTAAAGGCTTTTTAGATGTTCTTTTCTACCTATATGAACTAAAGTCAACTTTAGTGAGAAAACTAAAGCCTTTTTATATCATGAAACTAAACCAAATCAATAACATAAGGATACTTTAGATGTCTGGAGTTTAACCGATGGACCATGTTATATTTTATCTTATATTTTGTGTTACATTAAACTACCAGCGTCATATTGAACACATGCAAAAGAAAAAAATTGTATTATTGTTTGAATTATTCAAAAATAAAAAGATAAACTGTTACATGTAAGTTGGGAAGCGTATCATGTTTCAGCGTACTAAACCACATTATATAAGTGCCTTAAAATAAACTATGTAAGTATAGCAAAACAAAAGACCATCGGCCTCTGAAATCTATTTTGTAAGACCGAATTCCGTTCTAAGATGAACGGGAATGCGATCATTAGTTTTCACAGCCGATAAGATGAATAAAACGGATGCGTTAATGGAACAAACCCAAATAAATAAATAAAAGTAGCTTTTGTGAGTGTCCATGTAAGTTGCTGGTCTTGTAAAGATAACGAGTGTTACAAAAGTGACCAAAGAAAAGAAAAGAAAAAAAAAAAAAAGAAACTCAAAGAGTGCTGTGTTAGAGCAGGTTGTTCTCGACAGTGAGCGTAATGAACCTCGGGGCTGGACGGTCGCTCGAACAAACCCCTGAACTCCAAACAAAAAAAGAAAATGCTACGGAAAGTAACAAAAGAAAAGATGCAATGCGACAGAGGAGGAATCCAACAAGAATACCTCCTCGTGCTGAACCCTCTAGCCTGAGGATCACCACGTTAGTGTAAGTCAGCTGAGAAGACACGGATCCCGAAGACCGTTTCCTTTGCGCCGGAAAGACCTCTTGCCTCGGACTCCCTTCCTTCCTCCTGGTTAGCCAAGTGGACTTTCGCGCTTCCGGTCTCTCTCAAGGGATGGCAGGAGGGCCAATTTCGCTTCAAGGGAACGGGAGTCCGCTTTGGCCAAGTGGCGATCGTGCAAAGGAAGGTCGCGCGGGCGGTGCCTCTCGGTTGCAGCGTGAGGCAGTGTTAAGGTCGGATCATTGGATGACGTGACGCGTGTTTTCGTTGTTCGAGGTCTAAGTGAAGCAAAAGTGACGTGAAAGACGTGAAAGTGACGTGAAGGAGCAAGATTTTTGTTCTCGTCTGTACATCGCGTGTTGTGAAAGAGATGCTCCGGATTACTGGTAATTATTTTGAGAGCGTAAAACTGGTCTTGTAGAATTAAAATGTTCTGGGCCGGTTTGATCGTATGGACGGACGTGTCTTGATATATATATATATATTTGGATTTTGGCTGTCAATTTCAATGGTATTTAGGTTGTTTTATAAATTGGTTTATTTAGAATATCTGAATATTGTCTAGTTTGGCATTTGGTAGTTTATTTATGGTCGAGTTTTTGTCAAGTTTTAGGTGGATTTATATTTGCAATTTATCTTTCATTGTTTTATGAACATTTCATAAAGGCAATCATGTTTCTGTTAAGACCATGTTAGGTTAAACAGGATTTAATGATTTCTTTGTAGTTGACACACTTAGCTGTAACATATTTAACAGAAGATAATTTGGCTGTCAATTTTAGCAAGAGTTTTATTGCGAAAACTGATCAGCCAGTTCGGTAATTACGCGCCGATAACACTCATACCACATCTTCGTTTTAACCCTTTCAACGTCTTTGGAAACGTAATACGAGAAAGAAGATAAAAAACGACGAGTAACACGTAGACGAAACAGCCGCTTCACAATCGTTATGAAGAAAAATCGCTTTTTACCTAGTACCGCTTTGCGTAAAAGCCGTTGACGAATTCCTAAAAGCTGCGGTTCGAATTTCGTTTTTTTTTGTTTGTTTTTTGTACCTACGAACAGGTCTCGTCATCCACAGACAAGGACGTTAATACCAGATCCTCCTGAGACCTCGTGTTAGTGTGTTTCTGGTCTCGTCGGAAACACAGAGACATCGCGAGCGGGAGGGGGCGTTTTCGTCGCGCCCTTCACGGAGACAACACAAAGGGATCGGATGATAACGAGTGAGCTCGTGAGGAGTTTGTTTTAACGATTAGGCTGCGCGTTATGCGTGGAAGGTTGGGCCCTTGTTTTTTTTTTTTTTTGAGTAGTCTGTCACCTGAGTGTCTGATGCTATGGTTTCAGATATCTATTTCATCAAGAGAATGGATTCTGATATTCCAGTCAGACATGTACTGCAGTGAATGACAACAATTTTGCAAAATAGGGAGAAATGCAATAAGCTCTTGAATCATATCAAAAGGCAATCTTAATGGATGAACTGCCAGTGTGTCTGCATGATTCGCCCCGTGACAAAGTGGCAGTCAGCGTTCCTCAAGCGACCTGAACCCCCAACAGGAGCACACAAGGGCCTCAACCCACCCGCCCATGGAAAGCGTGCGTGTGTGAGTATGAGGGACCAACAAGGCCATGTCAGTGCTGGTGACAAACCTGCGCCGTCTCTTTGGGGGCTTTGGGTTCGTCCTTGATGGTCTGCTCGACTTTGCGCTCTACCTTTTTCAGCTCTACTTTCTCAGATTCTTCTACGACAGCTTGCTTTTTAGGCTCTACTTTTTTTAGTTGAACTTTCTCAGCGTCTTCTACGGCAGCTTGCTTTTTAGGCTCAATCTTTTTTAGTTGGATCTTCTGCGCCTCGTCTACAGCTTCTTGTTTAGTACGCTCAACCTTTTTTAGTTGCACCCTCTGGCCTTCCTCTACAGCTACTTCTTGCTTAGCGCCCACTTTTTTCAGCTGGATTCGCTGAGCTTCCTCTATGCCTTCTTGTTTAGTATGCTCAACCTTTCTTAGCTGCACCCTCTGAGCTTCATCTACGCTCATCTCTTCCTTAGCGCTAACTTTCCTAAGCTGCACCCTCTGGCCTTCCTCTACAGTCATCTCTTCCTTAGCGCTGACTTTCCTAAGCTGAATCCTCTGCGCTTCCTCTACACCCTCTTGCTTAAAATGCTCAACCTTTTTTAGTTGCACTCTCTGAGCTTCATCTACAGCCATTTCTTGTTTAGCGCCTACTTTCCTGAGTTCCACTTTCTGAGCTTCTCCAACAGACAACTCCTCTCTGGCTCCTACTTTCTTAAGCTGAATTTTCTGGGCTTCTCCCATGGAAACCTCCTGCTTAGATTCAACTTTCCTGAGTTGTACTGTCTGAGCTTCTCCGGAAGTGAACTCCTGTTTAGCCTCTACTTTCTTCAGTTGCACTCCAAAAGCAGCTTCCTCTACAGCAGCCTCGTGTTGTTTAACAGCTACTTTTTTTAGTTGCATTTGCTGAGCTTCCCCAAAAGCAAATTCTTGTTTAGTCTCTACTGTTCTAAGCTCTACCTGTTGAGATTCCAGTTTAACTTCTTGTTTTTTAAGTTCAACTTTTTTGAGTTCAACTTGTTTAGCTTCTTCTTTAACCTCCTGCTTTTTAACTTCTACCTTTTTCAGCTGCGGCATTTTAAACTCCTCTGCTTCCTCTTTCTTAATCTCCTTCTTTTTAACAACCTTCTTTTTAGCCTCGGTCTCCTGAACCATCGTTTCTTCTGCAACCTGGGCGGCCTCCTTTGCGGTAGGAGGAACGTAAGATGGTGAGCCACGTGTACTTCGCAAAAACCAACACAACATGACCCGCCCGCAGAAGCACCTCCTGATGTGACGTCACGCCCGCAGGCAATGGCGTAGAGTCAGACCAGAAATCAGCTTCTGCGAGCGGGGGCGTTTTAGACTCCACAGAGCGGACGGAAGAAGAAACGGACGCAAACAATTTAGCAAGAAGCAGCATGCACAACGAACGCAAAACGAAATACATTTAGACATTTAAAACGAAATACATTTAGACATTTAAAAGGACATACATTTAGACATTTAAAAGGACATACATTTAGACATTTAAAACGAAATACATTTAGACATTTATAACATAAACATATTTATAATTTGGTGTCAAACATATACACATATTTTAGAAAGAGACATTTGGTATTATCCTTGTATGTTTAAAATGTAAATATTTGGATATATTTGGATGTTTTACTAATATTTATAAAAAATACAAAATGCAAATGTAGTTTGGTGTAAATCTAGATATTTCTTGTAATATGATAATTGAATGTTGCATGAAAACTGTACTGTACTCAACTGAAGACTATAGCACATAATAAGATGACAAGAACATAGATAAAATCAATTAAAAATGACTAAATCTACGGTAAATAGCATAAAAGACGCTTGACAGACAGTGCAATGAGTAACAAGTACCTGTTGCTCCATCTTTTCCTGCCTCACCTCTTCCTTCTGTGGGATAAGAAAGATGCACGGGAAGGTGTTAGAATCTCCTACCTCAAACCCGTTTCAGAAAAAGCGAAATACAACTACAGACTTTGCAAGATAAAGAAGTTAGTACACGTTTGTCTACTGGAGAGAAGTGCTATGATATACCAACTCCTACAGAGAGCCAAATCTACAATAATAATGAAAAATAATAGAATGAAGCGTATTTCATTATATAGCAATTACCTGCAAGGGAAAGGCATCATTTAGTGTCATTTAGAAATTTGTGGGTGTAATTCGGGAGTGTTCAGTGTTCGTTTAAAAGTCGCCAAAAGGGCAACCTCACTACCGGGCTATTTAAATGTCGTCTTTTTAAAATGCTGGATCGCTTTATCCTTCGGAGGTTTAAAATTTTCTTCTTATTTGTTAGACGGCGAGATCTTCGAATGCAGAAACCAAGGAGAGCTGCGACGCCCCGTGCTGGCGCCGGGACACACGTTGGACGCAGGGGGTCGCCTCGCCGCAGGGGAAGGGGCGCTCCACTGAGGCGGGTGGCACTGCATGGGCGTCTTTTGTGAGGGATCTGAGCTTACTACTCCCCGAAAGAGGTGGGTGTGTTGAAAAAAGGGTGGGGTGGGGGTGGAGGGAGTTGGGGGGGTTGTAAATGAAGAGCTTGTAGAGAGAGAGAGAGAGAGAGAGAGAGAGAGAGAGAGAGAGAGAGAGAGAGAGAGAGAGAGAGAGAGAGAGAGAGAGAGAGAGAGAGAGAAGATAAAGATAAAGAGCAGAGAGAGAGAAAGAGAGAATAAGTAAAAAGAAAGGGGGGGGAGGGGGAGGGAATATTTTCAGTAACTGAAAACAAAACAAATCATATCTCAGTGGAGGTGCACTCGGTCCCCTGGGCGAGGCGGACCGCCATCTAGGTACCGTATTGCCTACCGGAGCTTCGTCTTCTTCGTCAACTGTCCCTCCAAAGAGCTCATACAGGTATCGTTCCATGGGCGTCATATCCTCGAGATCCGCCTTGGATTTCGTTCCCTTTTTCGGCTCTTCCTTGGGAGGAGGCGGCGAAGGAGGGCTCGACTCCGCGTCCTCGTCGGTTTCCTTGATGACGGAGGTGAGCACTTCGTGTTTGCCCAGCGGCCGCGGCGGGGACTTGATCTTCTCCTTCGGTTTAATGGTCAGCGCCGCGTCTTCCTCACTTACCTCGGGTTCTTTCTTCTTGGGAGTCGTCACGGTCGCGTCCCCCTCGACGGAGGATTTCTTTTTCTCGGGTTCTTGTTGGGCAGTGAACGCGGCGCTCGGTTCCTCGGGCTCGTCCTCAGGCTCGAACGAGCGTCTGTCGAAGGACTTTTTGCGGGGTTCTCGTGGGGTGCTCTCGAAGGTCTTTTCCTTCTTCTTCTGCCCCATGAACTGCGACAGAAGGCTGGCCATGAGGTCCTCGGCTTCGGACTCCGACTCCGATTCTGTCTCGGGGACGTAGATGGGCGGCGGCGTGGGCAGCTTTTTGAGCAGCGGCTTGGGAGGAATGTCGTCCTCGTCGTCGAACTTTTCGTTCCAGTAATCATCCACTTTCCTGAACTCTTCCTTCTTCGGGTTCTTGGCGGGGTTCTCGACCTCGGTCTTCTGGACGGTTTCCTCTTCCGTTTTTATCTTCTTTGATTTGGGCTCTTCCTTCTTTTCCTCTACGACCGTCTTTTCCACTTTCTCCTCGACTTTGGAAGTCTTTTTCTTCTCTGGCGGGTTCTTAGATTCCGTTTTCTCTTCCACCTTTTCCTCAACCTTTGAGGTTTTCTTCTTGGCCTCTTCTGCCTTCTTGTGGGGATTCCCCTTCTCCTCGACGACCTCTTCCACCTTTTCCTCAACCTTTGAGGTTTTCTTTTTGGTTGGTTCCTCTTTCTTTTTGGGTCCTTCCGTCTTCTCTTCGACGGTCTCTACTATTTCCTCCTCCATTCTGATCTTTGAGTCTTTTTTCGGCTTGTCCTCTTTCTTTTCCTCTATCGTCTCTACGATCTCCTCCTCCATCCTAATCTTCGAGTCCTTCTTCTTTGGCTCCTCTTTCTTTTCCTGTTTTACCTCCTTTTTCTTTTCCTCCTTCACCTCCTCCTTTTTCTTCTCCGGTTCCTTTTTCTTTTCCGGTTCTTTTGCCTTTTCTGGCTTCTGAACTACCTCTTCCTCTGACTCGGAGATCAAAGTCTCAGATTCAGAGATTTCCTCTTGAATCTCTTCCTCTGTCTCCTCGTCTTCGTCTACGCGCTAAAGGGAAAGGGGAAAACGCATATGAAACACTAAAACACAGGAACACCCAAAGAAAAGAGAGAAGAGGAAGAAGGGAAGAAAAGGGGATGGATAGAAACGTAAAGAACGGCCGGATTGGTATCTTAACTTAGCATGCCGGATATGAATTCCTCCTCACACATTCCGGTCGTTGGGTGGGAAGTACCCGGGCGCTCCAGAAGGGACCGAACGCAAGGGCTCGGGTCCCTCTGAAGGCCAGCCACACGCCAACGACGGTGTGTATCTCCATTGAGTGTGTGAGAATTATCGGCAAAGGTGCAAGACACGAGAACGTGACCACAGCATTAACACGTGGCACGGGTGATCACAACTGGGAATCGTAAGAGGAGAGAGGAAAAAAGGAAGAACATGCAGAACAGAGAAAGGAAAACACTAAGAAAACACAACCGCCGTCAGACAGTATTTGACGTGACGGCTCGTGACAGGAAAGTGACAGGCCTATTGCAAGAAATCACGTGGTTCTATGACAAGTAAAAACATTCATGTGTGCATGACTCGTAAAACATCAAGTTTTGTAAAGGGGAACACGAAGTAAACAGAATCTATCATATTCAGAGGCTATGATGTAAGTTACCGGGTGTTGTGACAGGGAATAGTAACAAAACATTACCAGTACGGGACTATTCCGGGCTCTTACCTGGAAAAGAGAGAAAACGTGGAAGCATTAGTATTTGATCTTGGTTTTGTATGAAATTATTTTCAATGTAAACACAAAAATAAACTCCCACTCTTATTTGTACTGCCATTCACACGCACACTTGTACACTGATATGAAATATGCATACGACATTCAGAATAATAAAATGCATATAAATTCTCGATAAGTACTATACTATAATTTTCTGGAATAATGCTGTTAGTGTTAGGCCGTGAGTAAGGAGTAGGATACACATATATATATATAGAATAGCGTGAAGTGTTTGTGTGTAAGTGGAAAATGTTGAGCTCTGCGTCGCGAACTTGTTACAGAGAGAAGATAAATAGTAAATAATCATAGTAGGAGGAAAGACAGATCAACGAAGTGGTTTCGCGGCGATTTGGTTAGCTTCCTTTTGCTTCCTGTTATGCGGAGAAAGAAAACGGAAAACGGCGTGGAAAAAAATGACGAACGCCTCCTGGTGCGGACGCCGACGACATGAAATAAAAATGATAAAAAGAGCTTTCCTCAGAAGACTCTCGAGAAGAGGCAAACACACGAAGGCAGAGACAGCGAGTAATGCACGGTCAAACGAAGCCTGAGAAGCGTTAATATCGCTCTTATTTTTTGTTTGTTTCCTTCCGGTTATGCTATCCACCTTCTTCTGCGTCTTGAGCGTCCTCTTGACCTTCCGCGGCGCCTCCGGCTCCTCTCCCTCGGTCATCGTGTCGTCCTCCACCGTGCTGTCGCCGGCCGGCCTCGTCTCCTTCCTGGCGGCGACCTTCTTGGTGATCTTCTTGCGCCGGACCTCCTCGCCCTCGCTCTCCGTCAGCTCCGACTCGCTCTTGGGCGCCGGGGCCTTGCGGCGCGGGCGGCCGGGCTCCTTCTCGGAGGGCGCCTCGCTCTCGCTCGCGTCCGACGGCTTGGCCTCCTCCTTGGCCCGCTTGGCCGCCGGCTTGGCCTCCTCCTTCTTCTTCTCCTCGGGTTTCTTCGGCTCCTCTTTCTTCTTCTCCTCTACCTCTCTCCTTCTTCTTCTTCCTTCCTTCTTTCTTCTTCTTTCTCTTTTTCTTCTTTTCCTCTTCTTTCTTCTTCTCTTCTACTTTCTTCTTTTCCTCTTCTTTCTTCTTCTCTTCTACTTTCTTCTTTTCCTCTACTTTCTTCTTTCTCTTTTTCTCTTCCTCTTTCTTCTTCTCTTCTACTTTCTTTTTCTCTTCCTCTTTCTTTTTCTCTTCTACTTTCTTTTTCTCTTCCTCTTTCTTCTTCTCTTCTACCTTCTTTTTCTCCTCTTCCTTCTTCTTTTCCTCCTTCTTTTTCTCCTCTTCTTTCTTCTTCTCCTCTTCCTTCTTCTTGGGTTTCTTTTTCTTCTCTTCTTCCTCGGTAACCTCCTCTTCCATCGTCACGTCAGTCTCTTCAATAATCTCCTCCTCTTCCTCTTCCGGCTCCTTATATATCTCTTCCTCTTCTTTCACATCATCTTCCATCACAACAGTATCATCGCTTTCCACTTCCTCTTCTTCCTCTTCCTCCTCCTCGGAAGATTCCTGTACGTATAGGTCGTCAAGTGACAAAAGAGCGGAGATGCGCATTGTGCTGTGGTTTTGTTTTATCTGCTGAGCGCTTTGTGGGTTGGAGACTGTTGAACAGTTTGTGGGGTTGGGACTGTTGAACAGTTTGTGGGGTTGGGACTGTTGAACAGTTTGTGGGGTTGGGACTGTTGAACAGTTTGTGGGGTTGGGACTGTTGAACAGTTTGTGGGGTTGGGACTGTTGAACAGTTTGTGGGGTTGGGACTGTTGAACAGTTTGTGGGGTTGGGACTGTTGAATAATTTGTGGGGTTGGGACTGTTGAACAATTTATGGGGTAAGAGATTACTGAACAATTTGTGGGGGTAGAGAATACAACACGATATGTGGGATGGAATCCGACGAACAATTTGTGGGGTTGTAACTGTTATACAACTTTTTGGGTTGGGACTGTTTAACAATTAGGGGGGTGAGGGCCATGGCATGGGAACTGTTGAACAATTTGTGGGGTTGGAACCGTTAAACTATCTGTGGGGCTGGAACTGGAACATTTTGTGAGGTTGGATCTGTCTGGGGAGAGTATTTGGTATCCTAATGGTCGAGGGAACTGCAAGCACATCAACTGTTTTGTTGTACTCTAAAGGTTCATTTTAGATCTAAGGGTTCAAGCTTACTCCTACAATGGCTATGTTCTTCTGAGTTCGGTGAACATGTAAAACATCCGAAGGAACAACTAGAAAATACTTAATTACGAGAGGATGCTTAAATCTTCACCGACGTCTCACTGTGAACTTGACTACTGGTATCTGAACATGCTCTTGCTCTATTATTATCTATCATTCCTTAATAACGATTACACCATCACGTGTCAAAATCTACCCTTTCTGGGGGCTGTGTCGGACTACCATAGCAAAGCAGGAAAGAACCTATCATAAAATAGTACTTCCTCGCCCAACTACTAAAAGAGGTAACACTATTTACATGTACTAACGGCCCTTACAACCGCTAAATAAGGGATGGGCCAGAGACTAGTTTGGGGGTGGTGGTGGTGGTAGGGAGGGAGGGGGTACCACTTCCTTATATTTACAGGGGAGTAAAAGATGTCGATGGATTGTCTTACCTTTTCTTCCTTCTTCTCTTTCTTCTGCAGAATCGGTGCGAATAAAAGAAAAGAAAAAGGAACAGATTATTTGTTTGTACTTACAGTCTCCCGCAGTCTCTATACAAGAGAAGTTTAAAGTGTCTAAGAAATTAATAAATATGCGTTAGCTATAATAAAAGAAAAAAGTATTCATCACAATTTAACGATTTACTCTTACTTATAAGAGGGAAAGCTTCCACCTAAAAACATATATATCTCAGTATCCCTTATCATCTTCAACCCGCAGTATATAACTGTGCGCAAGACTGACCTCCTCCAGCATGCTCTCGATGAGCTCGACGGTCTGGGAAGTGGTCTCGCCCTTCTCGTTCTTGGCCACGAGCTTGTACATGCCGCAGTCCGATCTTTCTGCCTTCAGCATCTCCATCTGGACAACGTACTTGCCCTCACCCTCCTGCAGCAGGTGAAAAAGTAATTTTAGTAAGCGTAAAAAAAGGATTATGCTAAAACACATCGTAGGACATGGTATCCTAACGCCAGACTGTGTTACAATTTCTCGTTTTATATATCGTAACTGTTCTCTCCGCCTTATAGAACTCACCTCGAGGATGTTGACGCAGTGGCGAGTGTCCAACCTGACCTTGGTGGCGTCCTTGAACCAGTTGCAGGCAGGTTTGGAGGTGGACATGACAACGCACTCCATCACGACCTTCCTGTTGAACACCGACACGATCTTGGGGGGTTTCTTGATCGTGGGAGCGACTGTGCAGGTAAAACAAAGAGATACATTAGTCTCAGACAAACAAGAGAACATAATAGATCTTTAAAATGCACATCAAAAATATATTTTAGGTCCCTCTATTTATTTCTTTATACATGTAATGTTTTCACCAACAGTACTACGAGTAATACTACCTTCGATATTGAGGTTCAGGTTGGCATTAAGCTCTCCAAATTCGTTCTTAATGTTGCACTTGTAAACGCCACCGTCAGTCGGCTGTGGCTTCTGCAAGAGAAAGGGGTTGGATGAGCCTCTGAACTGAACCCGAGTTTGAGAACCCAGCATCTACTCTTGCCAAGGAGCCTTTAGACGGCGACCCTTATAGACACAAGGCCCAAGCTCGGGGTTCTGCACGTTCACCGAGTGGCACAGGTCCTATGACTCCTGATGGAGTCTTCAAGGACGTCTTAGACTAAGGGCGGGGGATGGCCGGAAGAAGGTTTCCGGGAGTTGGTGTAAAGTAGTTTCATTCCTATGTGGGAGAACCATTAAATGTATTGCCTTAAGGAGAAACTTTAGAATTACAAATTGCTGATAGAATGTCTTTTTGTTTGATAATATACAACATTACAATTGATTACAAAATTAATTGTATCATTAATGTGGGTTAGATAAATATAAGTCTATGTTACAAATATTAAGACAGATTGCTCTATGTAATACTGATTGTTTTTACAGCTAATGTAAACCAGTTCTTTCAGTGTTTAGTTAGCTAATACTAAGGTAGGTTTTTGGGTGAAGGTGTTGTGGGTGTTATTATGGGGAAACTGTCGCTGAAATAAAGAGAATCATAAATAAATCTGTTAGATTTAATAAAGCACTTTAAAACAAGCAGGGGCAAGGGAGGTCACCCGTAGCCTCGCACAGAGCTGCGGTAAGGTATAGGTATTAATAGCATTGGTGGCAGCAGCTGTATTGTAATGGTAGTAATAGAGGCAGCAGGAGACTGTGGGCTGGGTTACCCTCAGCTCCAGCCGGATGCGGTAGAGGTCGTCCTTCTCCCTGGTGACAGTGGCAGTCACTTTGGAGCTGTCCAGCTCCTTGCCGTCCTTCGTCCAGCGGGACGTCGGCTGAGGGTCGGCTCGCACCAGGGCCTCCATCAGCACGCGCCCGGCCTTCTCCTCGAACTTGATGCTCGGCTTTTCGATAAACACTGGCGCTTGACCCGAAGGCTCTTGGTCAGCCTCGATGTTGAGGTTGACGTTGGCGGTGGCCTCGCCGAACTGGTTCATGGCCACGCATTTGTACTTGCCGGCGTCAGCACCACACGGATCCTGAGTCAGCAAGACCGTCAGCCCAAGGGTTCATTGTTGACCAGGGGAACCAGACACACACATTGGGACACTTACAGGTACGCTAATTACAGTAAGGGTAAAATTCGCTTCAAAATGCATAGACTAGCAACACGCAGGGAATGGGTGTTGGGGAGAAGTGTTGACAAAAGTGAAAACAAAATTGCAATGGAAAGATAGATATCTGTGCTCGTTGGAGAATCATGACACAAGTACATGATACACATAGAGGAGCCAGACTGGGGACGAGAGAAGAAGGGAAGAGAAGAAAAGGGAAGGAAAAGGAACGAGGAGATTGAAACGGAGGTCGTTGGGGGTAAGAGAGGTATCGGGGATCAAGACATCACAGAGGTGCATACAACTGGAAATAATATCTCACATATTTATTGTTTCACTAAGACTTGTGTTGTGGACAAAATATTTCATCATGTATGTAATAATGCAATTTATAACAACTTGTAACAGTGCTGTTGCTGAATGTTGTCATAACCACAGAAAGCCCTATGTCTGTATGTCAAGCATGCAACCATGCCAAGCTGAGTCAACAGGCATTTCCATTCCCAGGATCTCGTCTCACGTGCAACAGCAGATAGTCAGGTCAAAGCCAACCCTGTGAGTCATTCCAAACACATCAAGACCTTATGAAGGTCAGTCGTTCGAGGGTCCACAGAAACAGTTTATCCGAGTTGTCTTGGTCTTTCTGACTGTGTGGTCTTTGCACAACCTTAGTCATCCATCCATCACAACTCGGCGGCTGTCAAAAGTTTACGTCCGTCAAGAGGACTTCCCCGGAGCAACGCAGAGGAGGGCGGGTCCTTACCTTGACGATGCAAGAGTATTCGAACATCTCGGCTGTCACTTTGTGCTCCTTGATGACCAAGCGCTTGACAGCCTCCAGTTTCTTGCCGTCCTTGAACCACTCAACTGTAGGCTGGGGCTTGGCCTTGCAGCGAACCTGCGACGAGAGACAGAGAGCTCATTAGGGTATTTATCAATAGATTCTTAAGCGTTTATAATTGTCATTTAACGCATTCATTGTTGTATATTTATATATTAATTAGTGCGTTTCTGCACATTTGTCGATAATCTTTTATGTTAACAAATCATACATTGCACTGCGACTGCATTGTTCATTGAGGAACAGTTTCTTACATCTGAAACTGTATTAATGAACTATACTCATTTTCTTTCTATTTTGTCGAGGCAAAAATGCACTCGTGAGGTCGATGATGGTGGCTAACTAATTTCAACATGAATAGCACTGCCATATTGCATTTAATGTTGAACACTGCTATCAACCTGTCACCAGCCATCATCAATCCGTCAAGAGCATCTTCGCCTCGAAAAGAAAGCTGCTGATGTTCTACTTGCAGCTGCTCTGCGATTGAGAACTCGTGAGAAGACGCCAGCGTGGCCTTACCTTCATGGTAATCATGGTGCCAGTTTCGTTGGGGATAATGGATGGTTTGTCGAGGAAAGTGGGTGCGAATCCCTCCGGGACTGCCTTGCCCTCTGCGGTCAAACGAAAGGTTAGTCATGCTTCTGTGCAATCACTCTAGATGCCATTGCAATATTTTTTTTACTCCTAACGAATGTTTATATGTATATATATATCACTCATAATGATGTATATCTTCTTTATACTCTGTAGGGTGAATATATATCAACGGCACTCACAAACTTGCTTTAGACAAACTGTATGCATGATAATAAATGATTTCCCAGAGCAGAAGATGCAACGGACAAGTTCCTTCGTGGAATTACTCATTCTCATGGCATCCCTACATTTGTCGCAAGGAATCAGGTCTACACTTACTTTCGAAATTAAGGGCAATGTTGGCGTTCGAGTCACCGAATGGGTTGAAGGCGTTGCACCTCCACTGGCCGCCATCTTCAACCACAGGACTCATGATGGTGACTGAGACAACGTACTGGTCTTTCCCGCAGATCTTCTTATACATGGAAATGCGGCCTTGTTCCTGCACCATCTGGAGGGCGAAGAGAGTATAGTTACCTTGTATTCTTGTATCTATTGTGTGTAAGCAGGAAACACATTGACATAGGTGCATAAAAAAGAAAGTGCTCCATCAGATACAGATTTGGATTCAGATATGGGCGCGGGGGTGGACGAACTTACCTGGACGCCCTTGAACCAAGTGACCTCCGGCTCAGGGTTGGCTTCCAGGAGGCACTCCATGATCAGCTTGTCTCCCTCCTGACGGATCTCAGGCTTCTTAGGGAATCTGGGCGCCTTGCCGTCAGGGATCCTGGGAGAAGGAAGCGTTCGTATAAGCTAGATCCTTCGCCATACTCGTTATCATTTTATAAATTATATCAATAGCAAAATATCCACCTTATAAACATGGCTCTTGGTACCGCTTGCCAAACACTCACTTGGGCTTATCAGAGGCGGTTTTACCCTCGAAGTGTAGGTTGATGTTGGCCACGCCCTCCCCGAGCTTGTTGCTGGCGATGGCCCTGTATTCGCCCTCGTCCGAGGAAGAGACGCTTGCGATCTCGAGTGTGGCGATGAAGTAGATGTTGCCGTCGGCCTCGAGTTTCATCTTGTAGCGGCCTCCCTCTTTTATTTTCTTACCCTTAAATTCCCTGCGGGTTCAGAGTGAGGCGGGCGTGAGGTGGTCATAAGGAAACAACACGCGAGTCCAGATATCTCGGCAGCAGTTAAGAGAGGAACTCAATTGCACAAAAGACGCAGGTCAGAAGCAGAGGCACTTACCAGACGATGGTTGGTTTCGGGTTGCCAACGCAGCGGCACCTGAAGATGACACTTGAGCAGTCGTCGCTCTGCTTGATGCTGGGACGCTCAGTGAAGGTCGGGCGGACACCTTCGGCGGGAGGCAACGGGGCCTCGTCGCCTGCGAGCATCATAAAGGAACCTGACCATACGCGCGGGGGGGAAACTCCATTAGACGGACCACAGGGGGAAGGAGTGCGAAGCGAAATGAGAATGATGGCAGTGTGAATGCTGAGACGAAGGAGGAGGAGGAGGAGGAGGAGGAGGAAGAGGAAGAGGAAGAGGAAGAGGAGGAGGAGAGAGGAGGAGGAGGAGGAGGAGGGAGGAGGAGGAGGAGGAGGAGAGGAGGAGGAAGGAGGAGAGAGGAAGACACACACACACACACACACACAATATATATATATATATATATATATATATATATATATATATATATATATATATATATATATATATATATATTTATATGTATATATATGCATGTGTGTATGAATGAAGGCGGCGAGAAGGCCAAAGATCGAGAGACGAGCGAGAAGGAAGATGACGCAGAGACATGGAAGGACACGAAGAAGAGGAGGAAGGTCTCGGAAGGATGTGAATGAGGCACAGGATTTGCAGGATGGGTTTGGATGTTTGTGAAGATGTTAAGTAGAGAGTTTTGCAGATGTTATTGACAACATCGATGCGCAGATTGACCCATACGCGGTTAATTTAGTAAATACAACAAATAAATGATAACAAAAAAGGTTGTTACAAGGCACGTGATGTATTCTCAGTGCCGGATACGAGACATTGGAAATAAATATAACTGTGTATCACTTTGGTCAATATCTAAGAGGTAGATGACCATCTTAGACGGGGGATAGGGGGGAGGGGGAGGGGGCGTGCGAGGACATCATCTTCCTTAAAAACGTCTTTGGGAAAACATCTAAGACATATTTTTACTTCACGATTAAGAAATACTACTTCACGACGGGTGGATAGAGGAGTGGGGTGGGGGTGGGGGTGGGGGGCGCGTCCCAAAACACAGGGGACTTGAGAAATACATAAGGACTCGTGTACGTTATGTGGGTACAGGTGGGACTGGGATCTCGAAATACAGGGAAATACCAGAAAGAGACAATAATACTACAGTACGTTTTTGGGGGGTTTGTGTGTATGTATATTTTTTTTTCAGAAATATTCATTTATCGGTAAATTCAAGGTTGTTGTGGGTGGAAAAGGGGTTGGTGGGTGATTTATGGGTGTTGTTTATATGTTATGTGAATGAATGAAAAATATATATCCATTCACAATATCTCAAATGATGTTTCATGTAAACATTATCTGTACTTCTCCTTAGAGATCAAAAAACTTTGATGTGATACGTGTTGGTGAACAGAAAAGAAAAGAAAAAAAAAATCAAAGTGAACAAAAATAATAAAAAAATAAAAGTCAATAGATTATAAACCAAAAAACCTGAAACCAAACCAAGAAGAGATAAGTCATAAATTTAATACATATTAAGAGCATGTAAGGCGTTGACACCAAGTCTGAGAGTCAGCATGTTGTCAGGAGTAAATGTCAGCTGTCAGTGTTAGTATGCTGAGGCTGCTGTTCGCGTGTTATCTCCGTGTTGTGCATCAGCATACATTATGTCAGAGGATTAACATGATTAATTCTATTTTTTTTTAGTATTTAAACAAGCATGATCATCTAAATCAAATGGGTTATTCAGTGGATTAATTAAACGGATTAAATTCCCAGTCTAATTTTCAGGTTATTAAAAGGTTGTCAGTCTTACGGTTTTGTTGATCAGCATCTTGCAGGCGTCTTAATGAGATCTTATGAGACACGAAGGGAGGAAGACAAAGGACTATCTCTATCCTCTCATACGACACAGTGATGGGCGGAGGGCGACTCCATGAGACATTCACAAACATTCTTTTTTTAAACATTTTTAACACAAAAATCTCCTCACTCACACACTAATTTTTTTTTTAACATTTAAGACAAGGACAGGACGAGACCACAGAACACTGAACATATAACTTAGGTGTTATAGATTAAACTTTAAGATTTCTTTAAGAGACTAGCTTACTAGATGTTAAGACTAAATTATGTCTGATAATGATCATTAGATTTAAAAGAGGCTTTTCTGTGACACATATTCTGAACATAAGACTAAGATCAGTATCCTAAGCTAGAATTATAACTAGGAGAATTTATTACACGAGAGAGCTATAGAAGAAATTGTAGCTAACTAATAATTTCGTATATTCTGAAACTAATACTAGCACTGTGGAAAGAAATGCATTTTCTAATCATAGGAGTGAAAGATGAAACTTCTTTTAGAAATCAAATGACAAAAAGAAACTGTTACTTGGTTCTAGTTTTTTCATTTCATTTCGTTACCGGGACCGTCTAAGTTAATGATTATGAAATAACGTGTTTTCACAATGATATTTTTTCTCATTTTTCCGGTGTCTAAGCTGCTCAATCTTTGACTATTTCACCGTATCTTTGGTTGTTTAATTTATTCGTGTATGCATTTATTTAGAATATTCAAAATACAAAAAGGTATAAAAAGTTGAGGAAAAAAATAAAAACACGATGTCCACATCTCGAAAAGGCGGAGGGAAAAAGATGGTTAGATCAGGGTCACGCAAGCAAGAAAATGCCCCGTCCTCAGCTTAGATAACTTTTAAAATAATGAATTAGAAATAAGTTGAAAGATGTTGAAAGAAAGGGGAATTAAAATAGTAAATAATAAGGTCTTTTTTCATTATGCATAAACCCCTGAGGCGTTTTGGGATGCGAGAGGGCGCGGGGTTATACCAGGCTTATTAGGCCGTCGGGTCCTTGTATTCAAAAGTCGTCTTTTGTGGGTTTTCCGTCCCATCGAAGTCAAAAAAATGTTTATCATTTTGTTCAGATAATCTCAGAGATGTAGACTTTGTCACGTGTTTCAAAATTTCTGTCACGTGCTGGTCAAAAAAAGAAAAAAACTCGTGGGGTTATCTGTCTAAAAGTCCGATTTATTTTATTTATTTTTTCTGTGGTGAGAATTAGAATGATATTTTATGAAGTGGCAGCGTGATATTTAGTATATTCTGTTGTCCTTTTTCATCATTTTGTCATTTAGTCGAAACGTTGACATATAGAGTGCATTTCTAATGAGTCTATATAAAGTCCTGTAAAAAGGTAGATACGTCAGCAACTCCTAACCCTTAATAAAGACCAAAAAATCCCTAAAGGTCCAATCCTAAAAGCTCCTATCTCGTAAGTCAGGGAAATGCCACAGCAGCATTTCCCTCGAGAGTCCAGAGTGACACATGTCTCTCCTCCGAAGACGTTGTACTCACTGTCGAAGTTAAGGCTAATGGTGGCGTTACTCTCTCCGAGTTCGTTCTTGGCGGTGATCTTGTACTTGCCGGCGTCCTCTACGGTAACGTTGGTCAAGGCCAGCGTGATGAAGTAGTATTTTTGATCCTTCTCCATCGTCACCTGCGGATGATACTTGGCATTGGCACTGGCACCCTATGAATGACCCGATTCTGACCTCTTTTAGCCCCTTCCGCCCTCCCTCTTCCCCCCTCCTTCCCACTGTCGATAAGTCACGATTTCATGGTTGGTGAAGCGGATGTAAAGCTTATCATTGAATGCCTCATGACAGCCTGAGATCAGACGCGAGGACATGCCCCAACCCCCAGCCCTCTCCCGCTCGTCCTCAACAACCACCTGGCTATAACGTCACGTATCGACCCTGTTAGACGGATTTATGGGATCTGATCCTCCAACAACGTCTATAAACCACTAGAGATCTCCCAGGTCCTTATCATAGCCGTGTGTATAATGACAGCGCCTCATGATATGTAGGTATTCTGAGAGGACGACCCTGCCTGAACCGCCATGCCGTCAACCACGCATGGTATCCGGGTCATTTAGGGCACGGGCAAGCGAGGGGGAGGGGGGGGGGTTGAGGTCATGGCTAAGAAGTGAGGTCAAGGAATGTGTATCAAAGTCTTCCTCAATATTAGCAACGTTATGTGGTTATTTTTCCTTCCTCATGTATAAGATTTCAACTCCATTTAAGACTCCTTTTTGTGATCTTTATCATCACATTATCTTTATTATCGCAACATCTTCCTTTCCCTCTCTTATTCTTATCAACATGTTGGCCTACATTCCATCTCTAATATAAATCATATGTAAACGTATTTAACCATTAGGGAGAAATGAAGGCAAAGAGGAAGAAGTGATAAATGCGATAAGAGGAAGAAGGGAAGGAGGAAGAGGCGTTCTGGGTAGTCTATAAATATACATATCTTTCATGGGTCATTGCCCAGTAACTATTTTTACAATGGCATCACTCAGGCTGCCTCCAGTGCCGCTTCTCTCTGCCAGGTTTCGCTGATAATTC